GGGTTTAAAAGGATATTTATTAGATTTTCGAGTAAAGAAATTGAAAGAATTGAGGGAGAGTGTAGAAAATATATTTGGATATTACTTAAATGAAGTAGTAATTCCAGAACCTAAAAGTGACATAAATTCCGAATATGAAGATGGTCAGTCAAGCGACGCAGATTATACTTCTTTAGAAGATGACCAAAGTGATCAGTTGCACATAAGCTCAGAAAATGAAGATGTTCAGTCAGATGAAGATGAGACGGAGTATATTTCTTTAGAAGATAACCTATCAGATTATCTATCAGATTTATATGATGAATCCTAGCAAATTTAATGAAAATCTTATAAATTCAATTCATAAAATTTATTTACAACATAGATGCAATGGTATGTATATCATTAAATTATCGCTCTTTTCAGATTACTGACACGGAAATTTTCAAAATTTCCTAAATTTACGTCCTTTTTTTTATGAATAAAATTAATAACTTGCTTACAAATAAAAATTTCCAAGATTTCTCTTTTATTACTATTTTTATAATATTAAATCTAGTAATACGTGGGAATCTCATGCTTTTTTTTTTTTGTAAATTAAAATTTTTAAAAATTTGAGCAAAGATATCTCGACAGCCACTTAATCAAATTCGATAAACCTTTTTTGAATTCTATAATCTGCAGAACAAATAAAAGTTTATTAAATTTAACTTGGTGATTAATGAGATATCATTGTTCAAAGTTTTAAAAAACTCAAAACGTTTATCAAAATAAAAGCTGCACCAAAATTTTTTAACTTAAGATATCTCGACAATCGCCAAATCAAATTTGATAACTTTTTAATTTGAATTTTACGAAACTTTAGAATTCAAGTAAAAAAAAGTTTATCGAATTTGACTTTGTGTTTATCGAGATATCTCTGCTCAAAATTAATAAGAAAAAAAAACTCAAAATTTTGAACAAAGATATCTCGACAACTACTAAGTCGAACATTTTATTTGAATTCTATGAATCTGCAGAATTCAAATAAAAAAAGTTCATAGAATTTGACTTTGTGGTTATCACAATATCTTTGCTCATCCAAGTTTTTTAAAAAAAAGTCTATCAAAATAAAAGTTGCGCCAAAATTTTCTCAAACTTTTGAGCGAAGATATCTCGATGACTACTAAGTTTAATTTGGTGAATTTTTTTTTTTTATTTGAACATTAAAAATCTTTGGAATTCAAATAAAAAAAGTTTGTCAAATTTGACTTGTGGTTATTAAGAACCTTTTCTCAAAATCTTAGTCTAAAAACTGCTAAACTTTTTTTATTTGAATTCTAATAAATAATGTTTATAGGTATAATGTTTATATAAAATCAATTCTTTATAAATAAATTTTATATCGAGTAAATAATTTTTAAATATACCAGAAACGAATGCCATGAGTTATCTGTCCGCAAAATCTTAAGTCTGTTTGGTCCGTGTGGCCTTATTCATCATACACTACTTATTTTTCACGTATACGTATTTATCACGTCTTATACATACAGTATGTGTTTACCATGATCTACCTATGTGCTTTACAAATGAATACCGATACTGTATATATTCTCAGCTACGATCAATCAAGCAAAAAAATATAGATCGATTTAAAACCAAACACCAAATCCAATTATGCATATAGGTAAGTAAAATTACAAATGCCATGATTTTTAGGCAAAACTTCGTATATATTCGCCGAATCTTTGTCATTTTGCATTTTTCGTCGTAGAATATTTTATTGAGTTGATTAAATGATAATCACTGATTATCAAAGATGAGAGCGAACCAATTTTGACTGCATGGTGATCGCTAAAGGTGCAGTAGATATCAGATTGTGAAATAACATGCGCATAACATAACTGGGTAGCTGCCTAAAATTTTAAAGGCCACAAGAAAGAGATGTGCCATCAACACTTATCAGTGCGAAGTGTTAATTTTTACATGACCAATGATATGAAAATCACAACGGATAACAATAATTATCCAAGTTAAAATATGTCTGATTAATACCTCGCATTTATAAGTGCGTGATGGCAATCTCTTTGACTTGAGAAATGCCTGAAGCTCTAGAAATTACTAGATTACAATTTCGAATATTTAATATTTTTACGGGTAGTCTCCAAACGAATTTATTGGAGCATTGCAGCTGTTTTCATAAATTTTAATTCGGCAGTGATAAACTTTTTGGTTTAGGACGCGATTAGTATATATGTTATATAAAGAAACAAGCACATTCAAAATTAAGTATTCGCTTGAATCCATGTCCAGTATGTTTGGTGTGTTTGGTCCATACGAAAATTTATGATGAAGATTGCTCTTGCCAATCAATATAGATCTTGAAAATTGACTGAATGATTATTTAGCCGATTTGATAGGTTTTGATTCAGCAGTAATAAATTTTTGATTTGTGACGTGATTAATATGAAGATATATATTTTTTAATACTACAATTTCAACACATTCGAAATTAAGTATTCGCTTGAATTTCAGGTCCAGTATGTTTGATGTGTTTTGTCTGTACAAAATTTATGGTGAAGATTGCTCTTGCCAACCAATAGATTTTAACAATAGACATAAAAAGGGTTCAATAAATACGAACAAGAATTTATGATCGGATTAAAAAAATGACAAGTTATAATTCTAAATTACAGTAGACCCTCTCAAATCCGGGACAGTTTTATGGATCAAGTATCACTGTTGCATCTAAAGTAGCGATTTATCTAAAGTAGCTACTTTAGATATATAAAGTAGCGCCTGACTAAAATTAGGCCCCTGAAATTAGATCTTCATGCATGCACTAAATCGTAATTCTAGCCCAGGCAACATCACCAGCCTAAAAAATTTCGCCCTATCACGTGAAATGTAGATCATGTAGATCTGTATATAAATCATGCATTTAAATTTTTTTCGCGTTTTATTCTTTTTCTAGGTAAATCCTGTTATATTCGTAATAAAACTAGTGGCTTTTTTTTTATTTGCTTACCTTACACGCACATAAATTTGTTATTACAATCAAACGTCAAAACTATAACAAACTTGTTTCATTTAAACTTGTTTAAACTTTTTTTAACATGCTGCTTAAACGTCGTAAATTTTATATAAAAGTCTTTTGATAAATTTTTTTTTCTTCATCAGGAAATTTTTAAATAGGGTGGATATTAATTACCGGCTGCAGAGGCGATTGCCATCGATTAGGAAAATTGACAATAATTGATATTGGTAGCTAATTGATACACAATCAATTAAAAAATAATCAATTTTAATTAAGTTTTGATATCAATTGATTTCAATCAAAGCAATTCTAATTGATTTTAATTAGCAGCTTTGTTATCAATTGATTCTAATCAATTCTAATCAGTATTACTGGTAATCAACAGAGGTGCTGCTTATCAATTGATATTTCTTTCTGTTAATTGATTGTAAACCAATTTAAAAATTTTCTGATGTTAATACACTTTTTCATTTTGCATTTAAAATGTTGTATAATAAATGATAATAAAGAAAATTTACTCAAGTGTGATCATTGTAGAGGATAGTACTCAAAAGAAAACTTTATTGGGTTGAATAATAAAACTGTTCGATTATGTAATAAATGCCAAATAGCAATTAAAAATGCAAATAAGAATAAAGCAAAAATTATTGAAATTGAAAAAATAAAATGACATCAAGACTTTGCTTATAAATGAGAACATCTTATAGAAACTTTTTTGAGTATTTTTCATTATAAAGATATCGATAATATGGAACCTTGTAAGCAAATATTTGATGTTGAAATTGCAATTTTTCTTGATACTTTCCTTGATCGTGTTGAAACTACTGATAATGATGAAAGTAATAAATGTATCACATATCAAATTATAGATCTTATCTCTAAAGCTGAAGAATATACCTATGTTTACCATACTTGTAATAAGTTAAAAGATGACGTTTCTTTTGTCTTTACTGCAATTGTAAATTTGAAAAACAAAAAAAAAAAAGCTCGCATTAAAGATATTGATAAGCAACAAGATACTGAATCTTGACTTCCATGATTTGAATGTGAGAGTTCTATTCTTATCACAATTAAACATCCCATGAGTTAATTTATATTCGTGTTCATCATTACTGCACCCACGACCCTGTTCTATTAATATTTTATCAGAAATTAAGGCTTATATTCAAAATAACAAGCTTCTTACTGTTCTCTAATTATATTATAATATAAAAACTGCTTATCTTGATAGTTATCTTAATATCACAAAACATCAGATTTATTATTGGTATAAATAATCAGGACTTAATGAATACAAAGTTGTTAAAGATCAAACTGAATCAACTATTCGATACCTTTTACAACAAATGACATTTAAAACTATTATTCAAGAACCTACTATTATTGCCTTTACAACTCCTTTACTGAATCTTTTTTTAAAAAACAATATAACTACTATTGTAATCGATGCAATATATAAAATGAATTGATTAAATTATGAATTGTATACAATTCTTGGGATTATAGATGGAGCTGGGTTTCCATTAACTTACTGTATATGTTTTTAAAACCTGGGCAAGAGGAAAAATGAACAAAAATTCTTCAAAAATAGTTTTATATACTTAAGAAGCAAGGTATTAATAATGTTAAAACCTTTTTAAGTGATAAGGATTTTGTGCAGATTACCCCTGCTCAAATAATTTGACCTCAAGCACGAATTTAATTGTGTTATTAGTACATATTTCATGCAATAAAGAAGAAGCTTACAAGTACTGAAATTACTTACCCCATATATAATACAAAAGAGTCACATATAACTTGTCTAATTATAGATTTAACCTGGTAGCTAACATGTGAATCTGTATCAAAAAATATAAATAATAAAGTTTTTTGTTAAAAAGATTATCACAAATATATTATACAAACAATTAGAATTCATTTTTCATTACATCCTTTAATTCCAACTAAATATCAATCTTATGTCTAGATCTGCTAGTGAAATTTGGCTCAAATATGTTCAAGAACAATATAAATACTGCAAAATTAATAATTTGTTATATATTTGGATTTATTTGTGGAATAGATAGCATCATCCAGAATAGTGGAATTTATAGGCTTGTTCTGTGACAAGCCATATTAATGTTTTACGATCTACTAGGGTACAGCATGGGCCGGGCTGGGCTTTTCCAAATTAAAACCCGGCCCAGGAAATATTTTTGAGCCCAAACCGGCCCCAAAAAAAAAAAAAGCCCAGATCATAGACCGGGTCAGGCTTCCTTTAAAAGCTAGGCCTGCCCAAACCCGGCCTATTGGGCTTTGTCATATATAAAAAATTC